CGATTGTTGCGCTTCTTTTTCATAGGGTTGTGCTATTTTATGAGTTTTTTCATTATTTAATTTAGAATTTATGGGCAAGTATGTCCAGCAAGATACTAATTAATTAATTAAATCCATCGTATCGAAGTCGTCAGAGTGAAAGCTCAAAAAATAGTCTACATCTGTGAATATCTCCGTCAGTACTCGATTCAGAGGAAAAAGTCGTTAGAGTTTTTTGTAGAGAATTTCATGGCCAACAGAAAAGTCTCATAACTTTTTTCTGTAAAATAAAAAACAATGGAGATATTCGCGGATTACTGCGCCTGATTTTTTATTTATTCTATTTTTTATCAATTTAGTACGCAATTGAGATTTTTTTTAAATGTTTTTTGTGTTCACTTAAGATCTCAGTAAATTTACTGACGTACAAAATAATGCTCTAATTGTCAAGAGCCTCACGAGACTCTACGATGTGTTAATGTTTCTAGAATATCCTGATTATTCTATTTTTACACAATTCACTGTTTTCGCATAAACAAAATCAACATTTTTATTGTCTGACATTCTCATCGCAATTCTCCATCTCAAGTGTCTCGAAAGAAATAAATCCAACTTCATGATTCTCTCTTCACTCGATTAAACTTACAATTAGATTAGGGGCGTGCGAATTATTCCGGACGAATAAAAAAGAAGTAAATGATTTATTTTTTAATTTTGTTTATCAATGTCAAATAAAGAGTGAAAAATATTCGCACACCTCTGAAGTAGATAAAACCTCTTTAAACTCGTCTTCGCATTATCCGAATTGCTAGAATGAATAAATAAGTGGACAATCCTCGTATGATGCAATGCCGACAATAAATTCAAGAGATTTAACTCCTGAAGCTAAAAATGAAGAAAAAAAAAGAAATCGTTAACCCTGAGGTGAATAGAGTAGAAGGGATATTTTTGTAATTGATCAGAAGGTTTGAGGTAACGCATTCAGTTTCGAGAGGTTTATTTCACATGCATATCACTAATTACCGATTCCTGGAAGTAGGGACAGCAAATTTTGTTGAATTTTATTCAATGAATAATGGTAATTTTAGAATTGACAGAATCTGTCTCGATTTTCCAAGGGATTTAATTGTTTAGGATGTTTGACTATTGTAATTTTCAATAATTACGTAAGACTTTTAATTTTTTATTACGAATTTATACGACTTTACCAACGGACATGTGTTTTATCAAGCCCTGAGTTGTCCAAACGTTGAGCAAAAATAAAACCTATAGTATTTAAGATAATTAATAACTATGGAGCATTAATTATAAATAACAGAGGAATTATCAAAGTTCTCGGTTAAAAATTCATATACAGGTCATACAGATAGTGTTGTTGATGATTATCTAATCTAATCTAATCCTAGGATATGAATAAACGATTTGAAATTGAAAAATAACGAGTGCAATTCAATTTACCCCGTGAACTTGTGGAATAAAATCGAGATTTTAGAAAATATATAATGTATTTATCCTCTCTTACATTTAATTATTCTTAACATTGATTACACAAGCATCTTATTACGTTCTACATGAGATATTTTAAATCGAGCAAGCGGTGATTACAGGGACTGGTAGATTTTTTACATTACGTAGACCTTTTCGATTTTTTTGAAAGGAAATACATCTTTGGTTTTGGGACACACTACTGCGCCGTTGTTGTCCTTCGCCATTTTTTGAAGTGCCTGCACAAGAATTTTTCATGATAATCGCATTACGATTAAATTCACTTAATTTAATTTATTCCTTTAGAATGAAAATATAATTGTTGAAATTGAAATTTCGCAATTACTAACAAATTCGGAAATATTTGTAGCAACAAAAAAAAATCATCTCCAATGGGGGGCAATATTAATGTAATAATATTTCAATATCACATTATTTAATTATTGTATTATCTTTTTTTTT